GATCGGCCTGGCAGCTCTCCAAGCCAGATAAGGTCTGTGACTGTAAATCCTCCCTTGAAAGACTTTGCTGGATGGGAATGAGCAGAATTCACAGTCAATTAATAAAAGAGAGAAAGAGTTTGTTTCATGCTCTCGGGAAGCCTAGATCAGAACAGGCAGGGACTCAAAATAAACCATTAATGAGTCCGTCCTTGCACCCTTCCAGAGAGAGAGAGAGAAGACGCAAACTCAAGGCATGACAACAGAATACGGAGCTGCTCTAGAATGAAAATGGTCCCTATTTCCTTTGGACAAATGGAACATACCATTTCTGATTCAAATCCATTTCAAATATCCAACGCAACTGGTGACCTCTGTATCAAATGTGAGAAGATGCCAACCTCTCCCTCCCCAAAATTGGTAGGATTCAACAGCTTCTTGTGTACAGCGAAGTCCCTTTCCTGGATGCCCCAATTAAACCATGTTCTGAATCCGTTTGCAATTAGGAGCTGGTTTTGGGGGCGGGGTGTCAGTTCACACATCCGCAATCATCCCTGAGAACGGCAATAAGAAAACAGAGCTGCTAGTCCTCACCTTTTTCTCATCCCCTTCCTGCAGAAGTTGAAGGTGGCTCCTTTTCTCGTTTGCCTTGCACAAAGAGCTGCTCTGGTGCTGGATCAGGCCGAGCGGGGGAGAGACACTTCGGCCTTGGGGATCCACCCAGGTGTAGATGTGGTTGGTTCTGTACCCGCCGGGAATGCGACCCACTGAGTGGACAGTCAGGTTCAGCTTCTTGGATCCCTTGAGAGCCTGGGGGAGGATGTCGAAGGCAATGTTTATATCAAAAGGTGAAGTTAAGCATGAGAAAATAGGCCATTTAATTAAAAGATAACAACATTCACAGCTCCAATATTAAAGTGTTAAGGAAGTGTGAATCTCAAAAAAACAACCAACACACCATGCTGCCTTATTTGCAAGCCCTGGGAAATTTTGGTGGCAACTGGAACTGTTGGAAGAAGTTGAATCTCTCTGTAAGGAGAGATTCAACTTGGAAATGAAAGAGAAATTTTCTGACAGAACAATCAACCCACAAAACAGAAGTGGCCTTCCGAAGTTGTGGGAGCTTCATCCCTGGAAGCTTTCAAGAAGAGACTGGACTGCCATCGGTCAGAAATGGCGTAAGGTCTGCTTGGGCAGGGGGTTGGACTAGATGACCTACAGGGTCTCTTCCAACGCTATTCTGACTGATGAGTTGATTCAACCTAGAAACAAGGAGAATTTTTTTCTGACAGTGAGAGCAATCAACGCATGGAACAGAAGTTGCCTTCAGAAGTTGTGGGAGCTTCATCACTGGAGGCTCTCAAGAAGAGACTGGACTGCCATCTGTCAGAAATGGTGGAGAGTCTCCTGCTTGAGCAGTGGGTTGACTAGATGACCTATAAGGTCCCTTCCAACTCTGTCAATCTGTTTCTCAGTTTACCGATAGAAGAGTTGGGATAATTAACCTGTGAGGGGGATCTTGGAGTCCTAGTGGATAATCACTTAAATAGGAGCCAGCTGTGTGCAGCAGCTGCCAAAAAAGCCAACACAGTTCTAGGCTGCATCAACAGAGGGATAGAATCAAAATCACATGAAGTGTTAATATCACTTTATAAGGCCTTGGTAAGGCCACACTTGGAATACGGCATCCAGTTTTGGTTGCCACGATGTAAAAAAGATGTTGAGACTCTAGAAAGAGTGCAGAGAAGAGCAACAAAGGTGATTAGGGGACTAGAAGCTAAAACATATGAAGAACAGTTGCAGGAATTGGGCATGGCTAGTTTAATAAAAAGAAGGACCAGGGCAGACATAATAACAGTGTTTCCAATATCTCAGGGTTGCCCCAAAGAAGAAGTCAAGCTATTCCCCAAAGCACCTGAGGGCAGGACAAGAAGCAACAGGTGGAAACTAATCAAGGAGAGAAGCAACTTAAAACTAAGGAGAAATTTCCTGACAGTGAGAACAATTAATCAGTGGAACGACTTGCCTCCAGAAGTTGTGACTGCTCCAACACTAGGTTTTTAAGAAGATGTCGGATCACCATTTGTCTGAAGGGGTGTAGGGTTTCCTGCCTAAGCAGGGGGTTGGACTAGAAGACCTCCAAGGTCCCTTCCAACTCTGTTATTATATTATATTGCCTGTATCATTTATTGTTTTATTTGGCTGGCTCTAAAAGCTTCGTGCCACAAAACATTATCATTTTCAAATATGGCAGGGTTCAAAAAAAAAAAAATCACCCTCCGATTGACCAGAAAAATCCCTCCATCTGCAGTACAGTCAGTGCCAGGCTGTTCTTGAACGACAAATTGCATCGCCAGCAAAATAAAAGGCAGCCAAAGTTTTGTCCTTAGAAAAGTAGAATGGCAATTAGAGATGAATATCTAAATTAGAGGAAGGATACCAACAGGGCTCCGATTTATAATCAGCCATTGAAGTCACACCTGGTTAGTTTGAAGACTTTTTTTTTAAATCAAAAGGGCAGGAAATTCAATTGTCTTCGCGTTTTATTGTAGATAAAGTTTCATTTCTCTCTGCTGGAGTATCTAAATACGGTGTTTGTTGGGATGGAGAGCTTTTAGATGTTAGGTGGGTCAAAGATAACCACTTCTGTGTCAGGGCTGTGTGTTCCCTTGAGCAGGGATAAATAGACTGGTTTCTTCCAAATGTTGCACAATGATGTACAAGCGATAGAAACTGCTCTTTAGAAGGCCAGATCCTGAAGAGGAAACTCAAAGACTTTGGCCACCTAATGAGAAGGAAGGACTCCCTGGAGAAGAGCCTCATGCTCTTCTGGGAACGAT